TGATCTTCATAAATGGCACATAGGGAATAAGTCAGTTACCATGAACTTGGCCCCTGGTCCAGGCACCAGGCTCAAGCCCGTCTGTCCCCATCCAGCCCCACCCCACCCCACCCTGGATTCCTTGCACAGGATCTGATTAATGTCCCTTGAGTTTATTTTGGCCTCTGTCAGGGCAGGAAATATCACCCTATGACAGATGAGGAAACAGTCATAGGGATGGCAGGCACCACAGGGTGACACAGTTGCCAGTAGTGGGTCTGAGTTAGAGCCTAGGCCTCTGCTTGTAAGAGGCAGATCACACAGGCCACTCTCCTCCCAGGGAGAGCAGATTCCCCCAGAAGACCTTGCTGGGGTTTAGCCCAAGTATGTGTGGACAGTTTTACTTTCATTCGAACCACCAGCCAGCCTCTCTTCCCTGGACCAGGGCAACCTGGCAGCCTCCTTCTGTGGTGCCAGGAGGTGAAGCCAGCTGGCAACCTAGAGCCCTGGTCCAATGCCCGTTCCCCCTGGGAGTCTTAGAGGAAGTCAGGGCATCTGGAGCTAGGCCTGAGCAGAGGGTGCATGGAGGCTTGGAGCTCGGCCACTGGACTAGTGCAGGATCTGCCCAGAGAGCGCAGTCCAGGCAAAGTGGCTTTTTTTTTTTTTTCATATTACTGGAGTTTGAACTCAGGACCTCGTGCTTGCTAGGCAGGCACTCTACCACTTGAGCCACATCACCAGCCCTGGCAACGTGGTCTTAAGAAATGAGAAGCAGGGCAGGCCGTGTCTTCATCATCACGAGACCCAGACGGATGATATGAAGGAGCAGAGCGGGCCTCTGGCACTGTCATGTGCATTTCATACAGTGAACCTTTCCTGGGTCAGTGCCAGACACTGTGCTAGGCCCTGGGGGTGCAGAGACACAGGCAGAGCATCACCTCCAACAGACTCCAGTGGGAACAAATGAGAAGGCAAAGATGTAAGCCCACCCAGAGTGAGAAGAGCTCTGAGCCTACAAGGGAGGCTCAGCCTCTGGGGTCACACTCTTTCTTCCCCACATGCTGCCCAGCCCATGGTGCCCAGTTCACAGTCACACATGGTGAGCAAGTGGAGGACTCATTTTCCGGGCACTGACCAGGGTCCAGGGGAGCAATGATCCATCCATCCCTGGGGAAGACTGCAACTGAGGGACTGCTGCCTCACACGGGGCTGGTGTGAAAGGTCCTTTCCATCCCTAACATGGGACCCTGAATTCTTTAGTGTCCTCCTAGATTTAAGGGCATAAGCTGAAGAATTTGGTTTTGGTTGAATTTTTCCCTGCGTGCCAAAGATGTCACCTATCAGATGTGCTCATTCAGCCGGGGTGTGCTGCCCATTGGACCCGACAGTGTGGACGCATCCCCCTCCCTCCCTTTAACCCCTTCCTTCTCCCCTCCCCCATCCCATCTCATCCTCATCTCCATTTTCTCCACCGGTTCGTGTCGACTGTGCACTCCATCACCATCTCTCACACCAGTGTCCAAGAGACGCAAGGCCCATCTGCGGCGCCTGGATCGCCGGTGGACCCTGGGCGGGATGGTCAACAGGCAGCACAGCCGAGGTGACTGCGGGCGCCCGCCTCTCCTCCCCCGCAGCTGCTGCCTGTGTCTCACTAATGCCTCCTTCTTTGTGCTCTGCTGTCTGCCATGGCCTCCTGACCAGCTGGAAGTGGGGAAGGGGGTCTTGCTCAGGAATTGGGGTGGCACTAGGGGCAGCTCTGGCTGGCTAATGTCCTGGGAATGGGGATCATGGGACTTAGGACATGATTGTGAGTTCCCCAGAAATGAAGAGAGTTCTCAGGAAGGGAGTGCGGGGGGATCTCTGGTTCTCTAAGGAAAGCCATACCTGTCCTAGGCACTGCAGTTTTAGGGACCAGGGGTTTCCAGTCTCTGCAAGACGCCCCACTCCCCTGTCCTTTATTGCTTTCTTCTGCCAAAAAAGACTCCCTCATCCAAAGCTGTCCTGTGGGTTGCTTAGGAACCTGATACAAAGAGGACCAGCCCATGACCCTCCTCCTTCAGCCAGCTCCACTTGAACTAGGGAGGGTGCAGAAGCCAGACCCAGCCTGGCACCAGCTCACAACCCCAACCAGCACTGATGAGGAATGAGGCCCCACCAGGAGCACTAACCTCTGAGACTACGGGAAGTACTAGATCAAGAAGATTCCAGAGAGACACTTGGCCTGGCTGTGGGCTGATCAGAGAATTGAAACATTTGCTGGTTCAGAGCTTTCTGGCCTAGCGCCTTCCCAATATCCAGGAACTTGGGAGGTGAGGGAGAGCATGGTGGGCCTCTGAATGTACCGCTAAACATCTGCAGACCCCCCCCCCCAGACCAGTGGATGGTCAGTTCCTCCTGCCCCACAGAGAGCAGGGCAGAGTGTGTTCTCCTCGCAGTGACGACATGGTTGGAAGCAGATCGTCACCCCTGAGAGGGGTGTGTAATGAGCACTGGCCTTTCTGGAACACAGGGATGCCTGACTTGGGCCCCCACCCCCACCTCAAAGCTTGTTTCCAAGTAACAAGGAGAGCAGCAGGAAGTCTGGACTCTTGGGTGGCCTCATCCCATGACTGGCTTAGAGTCAGGCTCAGAGTGCTGGCCATGAAGAACCCAGCTTGTCTTGAGGGCGGAGCATGGGCTGGACCCCAGGGGACTGATGGAGAGATTGAAGTTGTAGAAACACCAACAGACCGAATGTAAAGCAAAGGCCACCCTAAAGTCGGGAGGGAGGGGACAACTTTCTGGGAGACCGGGCTGGGAAGCAGCCCCCCAGGCCTGTGTAGCAACAGAGAGCAGGTCCCAGGGCCTGGAATCACACAGCAGAAGTGAAAGTTTGGCCTGTTCCACACCCATCACACACTGGGCCTGAAACATAATTGTGTCTCTATACTACACAAACACATACAGCCAGTGAGGTACACACCCGTTCACAGCCTGACAGCCACATGTGTGGCTGCAGTGCCTAATCACACCCCCACCCCCCAGCTGTTCTGTGCACACAACTCACACTCTTATCATAATTAATCCCAGTTATGCCACCACATGTTATTTACAGTGACAAATACTTCACACACATAATCATGGCTCACATCGTATATACACCTCTGCAGCAACAACTGCAAGTACACATAGCCACTCATACCACATTTGCACAGGCAGTGTATTCAGAAGTATACTCAGATGGACACACAGGGACACACATAGACACAAATCCTCAGCTAAATGCATCATTCTGCAGTCACCCAAACCTAAGCAAACAGAAGTCCATGTCTCTCTCTCTCCCTCACTCCCTCCCCTCTCCCCTTTCCCTTTACTCCTTTCTCTCTCATATAAGAGACCTAAGCAACATAATTTCCCAGCCTCAGCCCTACGGGCTACATTAAGTCAGGCAGCCAAGAAAAACTTGCAGAGAGCTGGCTGGTTGACACCGACCTCACTGCAAGCAGCAGAGCTGGTGGAAGGCAGCAATGGGTCATCAGTAACTAGACAAGAGAAAACAGTGCTTCCCCAGGCCTCCCTTCCCCAGCCCTCAGCCAACCAAGCATTTGGGATCAAAGGCCTCTCTCCTGGGGGAGCTCAGCCAGTGAGGGAGTTGGAGGGGCTGGGAGGGGAGGCTGAGAGACTGCTGACAGAGGGGGAAAGTGTTTGGAGAAAGGAGACTTCTGTGGTTTGGAAACTGCAGGGCTTCCAGCCCTTGCCTCCAAAACCAGAATGGGCTGTCCACCTCCCCCACCCCACCCAGCTGCCTGGCCAGCCCTCACGAGGCAGGGATGCCACCATCTCTGGTTGGCAAAAAGATCACAATGCCAGACTCTGTACTTCGCAAAATCCCTGAGGAGTCCGCAAGCTCACGGCCTCCCTGCCCTCAACTCTGTTTCCTAAAGGAGGGGGAGGGGTTCAGAGCCCCTGACCCACCTATAAACTCAATGCCCATGAAGCCATTTCCATCTAGCTGGGCATTCCCTTGCCTGAACAATCCCTCTACAGTGGGGTTTGTGGTCAGGTCCACTGATGGATCTGTCTCTGCTTGTCCCTTTACTCACCTGTGGGTTGGGAGGTCTGAGACCCATCTGGCCTTTACGTAGAGATGGAACATGCCTCTGCCTTCTGAGCCTTTTAAGCCATCCAGAGCAGAAAACCAAGTATCCAAAGGAACAAGTGGGAAGAATTGCTTAACCTTGCCAGAGACCAGGACACTGAGTTCTCTGAAATCCACACAGAGACCTGGTGAGCCCCTGTGCCCACCAGCACATTTACCAGGAGGACACAAACTCCTGGGGGATGTGGTCACCAGAGCCTCCAAGAACAGGGCCTTTTGCAGGAGCAGATTAGCTTTGTAGTCAGAACTGGTATCCTTTGTTCCCCCCCACACACACCCCTCCACCCCCACCCTGGAGGTCAAGCAAAGCAAGAGCTTCCACACCCAGGGATGTGGTGCCACATGTACACCAAGAGTGATGCTGTGGCTATTCCTGGTGTCTCCAAGAGACTGAGCCCATTCTGGATGAATGGTCAAGGCCCTGTTGGGACAAGGCAGGGTTCCTTTCATCTTCCCCAAGAAGGGCTGCCATTTTTCTCTGCAAAAGCAACCTTGCCTAGGAAAACTTTCATGTTGGCTTCCTGCTTGAACCACAGGCTTTAAAAATAGTCCTGCCGAACAAAGGCAAAATGTAGAGCCCAGGCCTTGCCTTGCCCAGACCTCAGGATTCCCAGGGCCTGGCTCTGCCCCTCTGGTCACTGCCTGGGCCGGGGTTTACCGTGGCCCACTGGAAAAATGGAGCAGGACCAGGAACCAGCAAGAGAACATGGAACTTCTCCAGGGTCCGAGTCAGAATCTGGCTGGGCAGGGTTCTCAAGCAGCCTTGGCAGCAGGCCTGGGCAGGGCTGGAGTGGAATCTGAAGGCCCCGGAGCAAAGTCCTTCCTTGTCAATGCCGAGAAAGGCTTGCAGTGGGAGAGCACAGTGAGGAGTGGTACAGCCTCCCACAGCCATCACCCACCTTTTGCTTTTTGGCAGGCTTTCAAGCACAGCCAGTGACCCTTCACTTCCGTTGCAGCCTGGCAGGACAACCGCTTCACTGCCAAGGGAACTGCTATCTCTGTCCAGCCCAGGGCTGCAGACAGGACCCCGATAATCTAGAGGAGAATGAACAGATGGCCCTCTCACAGCAGGGAGTTGGGGTGACAGCTGTCCCCTCCTGCATAGCTGCCAGAGGCTCAGGCAGGCAGCCCAACAGGATCCAACCAAAGAGTCCAAGGGGTGGTTGTTTCAGCTGGAAGCCAGTAGTGGTGGGTGACATGGAGGCTGGGCTCCTGCCACTTTGAGCTCTCAGCAGGCTTCCCACTCAGTGCCCCGCTCAGCCCTGTCCAACCATGCCTTTCTCTTCTCTGGTGGAGTCCACAGCATCTAGCAGTGTGTTCTTGGCGTGTCACAGTCTCCAGGGAGCCCCCATCAAGGAAGACCACATGGTTTAGGGTGACCCTCCCAAGGGTGTTGCCAAATAGCTAGTTCTGCCCCTCTGTCTCAGCTTGTCCTTTGTCCTCCCAATGGGTGGGTAGAGAGGATGCTCCTACCCCGGGCCTGAGCTGTCCTGTAGGCAGAGTCTCACCCAGGAGGCAGGGTGACCTCAACAGCCAGCTGTGAGTCACCCTGATGGCTTCCTGGGGACAGAAGAAGTAGACCCTAGTAGACAAGGAAGCAACACCTTCCTGAAAGCCTAAGCAAAGGTCCTGGGGGAAGGTACCAGGACCTGCTGCCAGGAAGGAAGCTGAAGAATGCCAAGGGAGAAACCTGGTGCCTAACCTCCCCACACCTACCCCCAAGCTCTTCTGAGATTCCCTACAGTGCCTCTTTCCTGGCACCTTGGGAAAACCTTTGACCAAGTCCCTGAAGTCACTACATGAGACTAGCAGCTCTGCAGGGAGCTTACCGGGCACCAGCAAGTCCAGGAGCTGCACAGCCACATGGCCTGATGAGGCCCTCCAGGTCTGCCTGTCAGTGGGGTGTTTGGCAGTTCTATACTTACTTGGCCACAGGACCTTTATCTTAACAAAACCCTTAATTGCGTCCATAGAACTTGTGTTCTGTGTAACTCTCTAGGGGACATTGCGTACTCTGCTGCTAATGTGGAACCTAAGGCTTGGTGAAGACTTCACCAGGGAGGTGGTGTCTGGAGGTCAGACCTAAGGGGAATTGAAGAGGTTGAGGCAGGGGCAGGACTAGGAGAGCACATGCGGGATACAGGTGGGGGCATGGCACTGAGGAAGGGCAGACTTTTCAGCATTGGTCTCAACTTTGACTCGGGCCCTATGAGAGGCAGCTTCCTCCAAACCCTGCCTTTGGCCCAACTTGGCTAGAAGAGCTGACTTCGTGCTGCTCAGGGCTTTGTTGGGCAACCTGGGATCCTGGCTGGCTTTGGCACATACTGGGAGCAGCTGTGACCCTGACACCCTGATCTTTTTGCTGCCACTCCTGAGTCCTGGACCTTCCCTTCCTGTCCCTTCCCGTCCCTTCCCTGGAGAAGCCAGAGCTGACCCAGGGCAACTTGGCAAGTAGCTGAGCAAGGCAGCCGGGACCTGGGGTAGGAAACAGGGCTTACACCCCAACCTCAAATAATCTTGCTTTCTTGCCTCCCCTACCTGCCCACTCACAGAGGAGAAGTACATCACAGTGCAGCCCTACACCAGCCAAAGCAAGGACGAGATTGGCTTCGAGAAGGGTGTCACCGTGGAGGTGATCCGGAAGAACTTGGAGGGCTGGTGGTACATCAGGTAGGAGCTCTGGCAGAGCAGCAACTGAGTGCAGAGTAGCCATGGTACCAGGTGGCAGGTAGATACTGAGGGCAGCTGCACACCAACTTCTGCAGCTGAGAAGCTCAACCTAGAAGTGCTCAGCGTGCAGGTTGTCTCCTGGGACAAGAAAGCAAAACCTGAGCCTCAGCTGGCCTGGACCACCAACCCAGCTCAGCTTGCAGCTGCCAAGAGTGCAGCACATCTGAATCTGGTTTTCTGTATCAGGCCTTGGCTGCCTGGCTCGCTCCAAGCTCGCACGCCGGGCCCCAGACATGGGCCTCTGGCCCCTGTATCCCTGGCTAGTTTGGGTCGTTTTGTACTACAGGGCTGGTTGTAAGGCTAGGGTAGAAGTAAGGCTCCTCGTTCTCCTGTGCCTCCCTGTCTGAGGGCCCAATCACACTTCCCTGCTGAAAAGCCCATTTGGGGTGTAGGTAAGGGAGCAGAATAAACCAAACCCTGTGAGCATCACTCACCATGGTCAGACGTGACCTGCCCTGTTTCCACCCACAAAGTTGGCTCTCAGGAAGGTCTGTTGGCTCCTATGGCTGTCAGCTCTGGGGACTCTGGCTGCTTTCCACACTCCTCTGCCTGCAGCCCAGCTGACAGAGACAGTCGCATATGTGTGGGCTCTGGGGCCAGCCACCTCAGTCCACCACACCTGGCATTCCAGACCCACTGAGGACAGGATGTATGCTCTACATGGTCTTCCTTAGAGGGCCAGGATTGTGCTGTGGCACCCTGTGACAGGTGATGCAAGCACTCATGGGGTAGGTCCTCAGAACATGGTGGAACATGATGGTGTTAAAGGTTAGTCTCTGCCGAAGGGTCAGATGAAGGTCACAAGACCTTTGTGTGACTTGATAGGACATTGCTCCCCCTATCCTCCTAGCCTCGGTGCCTATCAGGAAGACTGAGATGTCCCTTTCTCCCTTCTCAGTACTAACCAGACCCGACCCCACTTAGCTTCCGAGATCAGGCACATTCAGGATAGTATGGTTGCAGACAAGATGTCCCTTTCTGTCCTGCTAGGCGAGATGGGACTGTGTGTCTGGACATGTGTTGCCCAAAATCACTGCCCCTAGACTTTTATGTTCTCTAAGCAATGGAAATTAGAGTTAGCTCCCAATCCAACAGCCAGAACCCTGACATGGAAAAGCCAGAATCCAAAACACCCTGGTGGGAGGGTAGACTAATTCATTTGCCCAGAAGTGATCTGCAAATCACTGCTTTTTATTTTGTTTTATTTCTTAGATTTCAAAAGTAACTAATGAAGTCACTCTGAGCTATTTCTAATCAGCTCTTGTCCCCATGGCCTAGTCCTTTAGCCAGCAGTAGCTTGAACAGAGAAAACCTTGGTGAAACAATTCTACCAGGGCGGGGGGAAGGGAGGAGAAATGACCCAAACATTGTATGCACATATGAATAAAAGAAAAATATAATATTAATAATTTTCATTATTAAAAAAATTGATTTGACTTCTAGGCCTTTAAAAGTTTTAGTTTAACCATTCTCTTGCTTTTGTTATTATGTATATGGTTTATATATACCTAAATGATATGAATTAAAAATGTTTAAAAATGAAAAATTTTTTTATTGTTTTATTATTCATTTGTGCATACAAGGCTTGGGTCATTTCTCCCCCCTGCCCCCACCCCCTTCCTTACCACCCACTCCACCCCCTCCCTCTCCCCCCCACCCCTTCAATACCCAGCAGAAACTACTTTGCCCTTATCTCTTAATTTTGTTGAAGAGAGAGTATAAGCAATAATAGGAAGGAACAAGGGTTTTTGCTGGTTGAGATAAGGATGGCTATACAGGGAGTTGACTCACATTAA